AAGAGTTTTTTTTTGGTAAATTCATTATTTTATTAGTTGTGATAAAGTTGCCTTAGGATCATAATTAGAGTATTGCACAATCCAAATGACATTATTAACCACTAATACAACACTCATTTGATTTTGAGAGTTGCCTCCCTTCTATCAATCTCATTAATATGCACTTGTTGATAACAAGATTTGAGACTTAAGTTCGTGTATAAGATTGAAGGATTCATGTTTTTTGTAGTAGTGCATTGATGTGCTCCAATATGTAGTGATCATTTATTGTTATATTATTGAGCAGAAAATAACCAATACATAATCTCCATGTACCACCTTTTTTGGGGATCATTATAATAGGTGATCCGCAAGATGGATTACGAGGTTTATAATTCCAATCTCTAGCAATTTCAAAACTTTCTTTTTGATCTCCTCAAATTTCAATGAATGGAATTTGATACATGGACGGCTTGGCAATGACATGTTTAAGATTAGTTGAATATCATACTCCATGGTTTACCTCAGTGATAATCTCTATACCTACTAAAAAAGTCATGCTCCTTTAGTATTTGTTATAGTTGTATATATTTGATCTTGTTCAAAGCAAATAGAATAAATTTCTTCTTCATTCATGAAAACCCTTAAAAATAAAAAAATATCATAATTTATAATTTTACTTATCGTTATTCTATTATGAAATTTGTCATTGCTACACAATAATTTTAGTTTTTTTAGTAGGCATTTTTTCAAATCCTTATTCTTTGTGATCAATAGGAGTGGCAATACATATAATTAACATGCATGTATAAATTATTAAATATAGTGGGTAATGTGGAGACCCCATCCACCGAATTTAATTAGCTTCTTAATTAAGTATCCCACCTACCGCTCACATACCACATCCCACCTACCGCTCACCTACCTCTCACCTACCGCTCTAATATTTTTTATAAATTGTCTCTTTTGGTTTAAATGAAAAGTCTCAAGCAAAATCAAGCAAGATCAAATCAAGTCCTCTTGAGAGCTAAGAGAAAGAGAGGAAGAGAGAGAGAGAGAGAGAGGGAGAGTAGAAAATAGAGATTTTCTTGTAAACGTCAAGACGCTTGACAGTGTAATTCCTCGAAGAAATAAATCCTCTGCAGCTCCGTGGACGTAGGCAAATTTGCCAAATCACATAAATCTATGTGTCGCTCGGGTGTTTTTTTTGCGTGTAATTTTTCTCATTCCATTTTTTGTTTTATTGTTGTTGTTTTTCACAACAACTGGTATCAGAGCTTTGGGTTCAAATCTAAGGAAGAACGATGGGTGGAGATGAAGTGATGACATCGGGGATCGAGAAGTTTAATGACACAGATTTTGCTTACTGGGGGATGCAGATATATGACTACCTCTATCAGAAGAAACTTCATCTTCCGTTACTTGGAAAACAACCAGAAAAGATGGACGAGGTGGAATGAAATCTGTTGGATCGACAGGTTCTGGGGGTTATACGATTAACCCTGTAGAGATCGGTTGCCCACAACATCATTAAGGACTGCAGATCTCATGGGGCTTTATCAGGCATGTATGAAAAGTCATCGAGGAATAACAATGTGTATTTGATGAAAAAGTTATTCAACTTAAAGATGGTGAAAGGCGTTTCTATGTTGTTCAACACCTGAATGATTTTAACACTATCACAAATCAGTTGTCGTTTGTTGAAATTGATTTTGATGATGAGATACGGCGCTGATATTGTTGGCTTCATTGTCAAATAACTGGGAAGCTATGAGGATGACAATTAGTAGTTCTGTAGGTAAATCTAAGCTGAAATATGAAGATATTCGTGATTTGATTTTGATTGAGGAGGTGCACAGGAAAGATTCTGGCGAGACCTTGTTTCGGCGCTGATTGTTGATTCTAGAGGGAGATCACATGATAGAAACTCAAATCTAAGAAGATCAAAATCAAAGTCTGGTCAGCAGGCAACTTGTTGGAATTGTGGCAAGGCTGGCCACATAAGAAAGAACTGCAGTAATTCTAAGAAGAAGGAGAATGATGACACTAATGTTGTAACTGAAGAAATACAGGATGCACTACTTCTGGCAATTTACAATTCTGTTGATGACTGAATACTAGATTCTGGGGCTTCCTTCCATACATCTTCCCGTCGGGAGTTAATGCAAAATTATGTTGCAGATAACTTTGGGAAGGGTTATCTGGCTGATGAAAAAGCTCTAGATGTGATGGGGATGGGAGACGTTGATATTGCACTCCCTAACAAAAGCAAATGGACTTTGCAAAAGGTCAGACACGTTCCCGAGTTGAAGAAAAATCTCATCTCTGTGGGGCAGCTCAATGAAGGTGGTCATTCAGTGGTGTTCTCAGATAACAACTAGAAAGTTACCAAAGGAGCATTAATAATGGCTTGGGGTAAGAAAACTGACATACTGTATATGACTACAGGTTTACTCAGGCTTGGACACATGAGTCAGATGTACATTATGGGGAAACAGAAGAAGGTCCATTTCTTGAAAAGTGACAGAGAGCCAAAGTCAGGAAAACAAGACCTTGTACAGACAAATGATGGAGAAACACAGAGTTATGAAGAAATCTTACAATATAAGAATTCGAGCAAGTGGGAGCTGACCAAGAAGGAGGAGATGGATTTCCTGCCAGGGAATCAGACTTGGGAGCTGACAGAACTTTCACTAAGGAAGAAGGCATTGCACAACAAGTGGGTGTACCAGGTGAAGACTGTGTTTGGTGGCAATAAGAGGTACAAGGCTGGAATTGTTGAAAAGGGCTTTCAGCAGGGTCAGGATATTGCTCATGCAGTGGGAGTTATATGCAAATACAAGAGTAACCCAGAAAAGAGTTTGGTGGTACAAGGCTACGTTGGCGGTGATATGTCAACTGAGGGTGTTACTTGTGAGAAGCTGAAGTTGAGCTCAACTTCAGCTTGTCTTCTGGCATGAATATAGGGGCTTCGAGTTGCAGAGGTGGGGGATATCATATTTGAGGAAAATATCGGTACAACTAGTATATGATGCAGATAGTAGGTGATGCATTCAATGTCCCAGTCTCCAAGTGGAAGAATTGTTGGGT